TGCAGCCATCTTCACAGGTTTGGCTTGCTCCAGCGCCCCCACGCTGCCCCTTTTCGTTCTACCGCCCCCCTGAAAAATGAAATCGCCCCCTGGGGGGCATTATCGCCCAGGTTAAGAACCACTGCTCTAGACCATGTCTACTCAGACCACTTCACAGTGGTTGTAGGTTTTTCAGGCTGTTTCAGAACATGGCCAAACAACCAGCCACTAGTTACTTTCAGAATTACTTCTAAAGGAGGTTAAGCCCTTTCAACGGAAATTTTTCAAGTTGCATCTCATGCTCCTCAATCTTAATGGAAGCAAAAGTTGCGAAAAAAAAAAGCCAACAGGCAATCAGTTGCAATATCGAGAGATCCATACGTAATGATGAGAAATCACTTTTCAAGTAACAGGGACGCAGTCTGTTTCAAAAGTAACTTTCCAAATTCTGGTATGAACTTGCTAACTTGTCTGCTGATCTCCACCCCACTCCACTCAACGGTTCAGCTTATAATTATTTTTTAATACAACTACAATACATATTAAGCTCTTAATCTATACATTGTCCTTCTAACCATTGATAAAACAGGTTCCATGTTTGATAATAATCTGTATCTTCTTTTCCTATGACTTTCAGTGTTAGTCTATCTATTTCGGTGCAGTCCAATATCACACTATACAGCCTTTTTACATTACATGATCAACTTTTTGACAATGCAGAAGTAGACAAGCCCAGCTAATGGAATAATAGCCTGCAGGGTGTTGCTAAATGATATACGAATATAATCAACCTTTGTGATGACTATTCAAAAGTAATCCCTTTTGCTTTCAAGTGCAACATATATTTCAGCAAAGCAAAGCTGTATTAAAAAAAATCTCTGTAGACTCCACTGAAACTCTATGGCCTTCATATCTCCACAGTGGTTTGGCTGTTCTCTGTGAGGTTTAAATTTAAGGTAATGGCTACTGTATATTCATGTGAGTGGAGAACAATACCTTTGATTTGTTGGAGAAATGTTATTCTAGCTACCAAGGGTCCTATTTTTAAAAGAAATTTATATATTTTCCTAATTAATTTATCAGCTGATGTTAATGTTATTTGGTCAAACATTGTCTGTTCTTTATAAAAGTCATACATTTTTTAATCCCTTTCATATCTAGATTGAATTTGCATTGTGGGCCATCACTAATGCGTCTAATCCCTGGTCTATAATGTCTTGTTTCAGTTTTAATCTCCTATCTACTGTAGAAGATATCTGTATAAGTCAAAAATAAATTTCAAAATTCAGAAGATTGGGATGAACAAATGCTTCTATAGGTGAAACCCATCCTCACGCCAGGCTTCTTGCTGCGGCAGCAGCAGTGACAAAACTGTCCGGTTATAGGGCTACTGGTTGAGGGGAAGATAGGAAACAGGCTAGTGGGGAGCAAAGGGGAAATGTCAGTGTGTAAAATGCGCAGAGTACAATACACTCGGAAGCCCCATAAATCTACATTAAACCTCCATTGCTGCTGATGGATAACATTAGCTAAATGAGACCGCCCGGCAACTGAAACGCTTGTTTTGCTTGAGCTGCCGGTCAGTAAGGAAAGATCAGCTTTCCTGCCGTGACTGAGCAGCCAAATGAGTTCAAAAGGAGGATGGATCAATTTTCCTTCAGGGCTGATCTCAGAACTGAGTTTTTTCCTTCTGTGGAGAGGGACCCAAGTATTCTGATCCACGACTGGACCGTATAAAGTGTTGGGAGATTTTGCAACCTCGCAGGCTGCTTCTAGTAGGTGTGGCTGGGGGGGGGAGGGAACCTTTCTGGGCTGAAATCTGACTGTCAATGTATACGGCCACCAACCAATTGTTCCTTTCCTGCCTCTAAGTTCAGAGAGAGTCTTGTCCCTGTGTTCTGTGTTTTTTTATTCTCTTTCTTTTGTGTGTTGGGCAGTTTGTTGAAGTCTGTTGCTGAAAGCAGTCATGTTTGCCAGTTCATTTATTTTGTTTATTTCATGTTTATACCGTCTATCTGGCCAAAGGCCACGCTGCACGATTTATAACAATAAAACACAATAAGCATGATTTAAAAATTCAGAATTCAACAAAATCACAGAATAAAAATAATGAAATAAAAATAAACCACACACAACGTACATTAAAATATACAGCTACCTCTTCCAAAACTACTGTACATACATTAAAATATTTTGCTGTCTCATGTGTTCCATTGTAAGGAATGAGACCTTTTATTCTTTCTCCTAGTAATGTCTTGGAGTGAATTACTGAGACTGTAAGGGTCAGTTGATGAGAAAAAGGGGTAGACGGTTCTGCTCTGTGAATCTGCACAGCTGGTGGAATTTAACACAACATTCAAAACTCTGCAACATAAACTACAGTTGTGCAGACTTGTGTTTTTGGATTACGGCTCCCATAGCTTCCTAATCTAGACACCTCTCGTATAAAGAGAAGAGGCATTGAATCCTCAGGGCTTCCTAGACACCACCAGCTCATTTAAGTACCAGGAATTGCACTGCATAAAAATATTAACAATTGTGCATCCTCTCCCTTAGGTGACCTCGGTCAAGTTCTCTGCCTCCTTGCTCGTTGGGGCTAAAGCCTCTCTGAAGAAACTTCTTGGAGGAATAAAATATGTTTATCTCATCTATTTATTTAGTTTATCTTGCCTTTCTCTTTAAAAAGAACCCAAAGAGGTATGTTCACGTCCATGTTTAAACAAACAAAAAGACTCCTAAAAAAGGACACACTGGGGAAAAAAATCCAACCTGGTGGCTTGAAGAAGCAATAAAGAAATGGGATGTCAAAATGACCCAAAGGCAGGTCATCTGATGGGTTGGCTGGGGGGGTTTCAAGATCTCCCCCCCCCGGTTGGGAGAGAACGCCATCCC